AGGTCGGAAGATTTAGTGTATGGACGTTGCTGGCAAAGAGCGAGAGAAGTGGTGGAGGACGAGAAGGATAGACTCCTTTCCTTAAAGAAAGAAGTCGCTTGGAGTACCGAAATCAGGATCTTTGAAGACTTGCCTAGGCCGCGGATTCCTTACGAAGAATTGACAGGGATCGGTCGAGGTTTAATAATTGATTTCATAAACCGGCACCATAACCCGAATGGCCAGAGGGAACGAGAATAGGCAGCTTGGAGGGGATATATCAAGTGAACTAAGACAGGGCGATCATGATAGTTGGAGATCACAAGAGCTGCTCAGACTTTTGATGGAATGGACCCAGGAGGACTTGCGTACTCTAGGCACGACGATCTGTAGGAGAGTTCGATCGAATGAAACAGGGTTGATAGAGATTAAGAGAGGAGCCTCTTGCCTACGAGATCAAGAAGGGGAACTCTACCTTGACACAGGCCTGTTCGGAGTAGAAGGTGAGCACGAGATAAAAGACGACAGAGGAAGATTGATTGGAGTCGTGAGGGCAGTAGAGGAGTAGTGCTAGGGAGATTAAGAGAGAGAGAGCTTCCAAGATCAAGAGCACGATTAGGAGCCATGCTAAGGGAGTTGACCAAGGATGAGGAGATGTAGGAGGCTAGAGGAGGGAAAGTCGAGGAAGTTGGTCCGTTCCCTAAACTCTATATCGAAGAAAGCAGTGATCCCATATGAGATCGTGAGATACGAAGGTTTAAAGACTCAGGGATGGGGGATTGATGGTATGTATGTCATCACCTACTACTTCATCAACCTTGATGAGTATGATGTGGGAATATACGTGCCGCAACATAGGTTTAAGGAAGACGAAAAAGGTCGTTGTTGGCAACGGCCTCGAACATAGTGCATGACGAGAAGAGAAGACTCCAACAATTAAGGGCGAATTTCTCGTGGAGTACCTACGTTAGGCCTTTCATTGGAATACCGTCGCCGCCAGTTGAAGGGCTTACGCTCGCTAACAATGAATGGTCAGCCGTAATAGATCTCGTATGGAAGGTGAAGAGGGCACAAGACGAACTCAATAATGCCGGGAGCAATAACTGATGAAGAGGAAGTGAATTGGGTATCCTTCGCAGGGACTGTAACTTCGATTATTCGGATCCGAACCTCTAGAGCGTTAGACACATTAGATTGCCGACGATTGGCATAAGAAGCTATACAGCGCGAAAGACCAAGGGCACTAGCACAAGTTAGAACAGAGAATCGCATAGCCTACAGTGTGATGATCTGGGCCGAGGGATGGATGAAGTGCGAGATAGAGAAGGAAGAGACAATTCAAGAAGCACGAACACACGTGTAAGGGGAAGAGATCCAAAAATTGATGCCATCCTAGAAACATACTTGGACCTAATTGAGAGGAAGGTCGAAGAGTCGCTAGCAAAATACCACGAATGGCGTGGCTCTACGGACGAAGCCGGCTTAAATAGACTGGAAAAAAACGTCGAACGTCTTGTCGCAATCTATAGAGAGGAAAGAGAAAACATTATAGGATGGCGAAATGATTTCATTGCCAGACTGCTGAAGCAAGACCGAGAAGACACTAACAAACAAAGGAATGGCTAATGTCGAACCTAGAAGGAAAAAATTTAGTATCTCAGCCAGAGAAGAAACAGAAGGGTCCTTAGTACGAGTCCTAGTGGAAGCAGTACATAATGAGCAATTAAGCCAAGAAGAGGAAACCAAGTGCGCCACAAAAGCAGTAATAGAAGCCAGGAAGTGTGCCGTCTGGAAAGCTGCAGGAGAGTTCTTTCTCGTAAGAATACAAATCCTCA